CTTAAGAGCCTCCTCTTCAAATTGTATCCTCCACACAGAAAGAACAATTAAGCTTTTATGAACACAACTCCATATTAGAGCCGTGGTTGCACTTCCCACAATAAACTAGTAAAGTGATCGTAAACTGAAGATCCAAAAAGTATGAACTAAATATGAATATGCTGAAAAGTAAAGTATGCCACAGTCAGTGCTCCTAATAGTGGGTGAGACAGATGGACAGATGGATTTGTGTGTGTGTGTGTGTGTGAGAGAGAGAGAGAGAGAGACAGAGAGAGAGAGAGAGAGGGAGGGAGGGAGGGAGGGAGAGAGAGAGAATGGGTGTGGAGAGAGTGGGGTAGTAAGACCACACTTACAATACTGCATCCAGTTTTGATCACCATATCATAAAAAAAATGTAGAAACTCTAGAAACAATGCAGAAAAGAGCAACAAAGATTATTAGGGGCCTGGAGGCTAAAACATATGAAGAACGGTTACAGGAATTAGATATGTCTAGTCTCATGAAAGAAAGGACTAGGGATGACATGGTAGCAGTATTCCAATAGTTGAGGGGCGACTACCACAAAGAAAAGCACCAGAAAGCAAGAAATAGAGGCAATGGATGGAAACTAATCAAGGAAAGAAGCAATCAAGAACTAAGGAGAAAATTCCTAACAGTGAGGACAATTAACCAGTGGAACGCCTCACCGTCAGAAGTTGTGGGTGCTCCATCATGGAAGCTTTTAAGAAGAGATTGGACAGCATTTGCCTGGAATGCTAGTAGTATCTAGAGGGTGCCAGTTTGAGGAACAGACATTCAGAGAATATTGAGGAAAATGGCATGTTTCAGTTGAAAATCCTGTGCATATTCTTCTGATCTTTTGCAGTCAAATATGCCTATTCTTCTTTCTTGTTAATTCATGTATTCATTACATTTATATCTTTCCTTTAGCAGCTGATGGAAGGTCTTTCCTAATTCTATGTTGGCAATAACAACCTCTGCAAGATAAATTATGCTGAGCAGCAATGATTAATCCAAAAATAATCCATCACCTCCATGAGCCAAGTCTTTAACCATTACACTATACTATAATCATTCTACTATACACAAAGAGCATTGAAGCTAATTACTGGTCATTACAAATGGGCAAACATCACAGTGACTGCCTCATTACAGAAAGCATTAGTACAGTCTTGGAATCCATTCCGTTTTTTTCACCCTCTAAAAGGAAGCAGGGTGGCCACAGACGTTATTGTTGGAGAATGGGGTCCAGCTTGAGGAGAGATCATTGAATCAGATTCTGTCACATATAACAGAAAAATATTGTGTTTACAGGAAAGAAATGAGGTCAGTAGAAAACCCAGGACTTAGTTACTTACCATTTATCAGGAAAAGATTCAAGAGGAAAAATAAATCTTGGGAAGAAAATGATCTTGTGCCTCATAAAGAGTTGTCAGGGTAAGAGATAATAAAGAGGACTTGGAGAGGGAATTTCTAATGCTCTAGTTCTACCTCACTGCCCCTAGTGACTGGCACATTATGAGGTAATGCCTCTCAATCACATCCTCTGTGATTATTCCCTTCTCACGATTGTTTGAGTGGTTACAATGGCCAAGCATCACTATCATGCTCATTTGCACTATAATCACCAATTCCTCTGTTTTATCTTCTACCCACTGATTGAAAATTAGGTGCAGTAAGAGAAACTTCAACTTGACCCTATTCTTTACAATGAAAGTAAAAGAAGTCCACTATCTCAGCTTTTCTAGGAGAAGAGAGATATTCTCCTCTACTCAAGATATAATATAAAAGGTGACGTCCTGTCATTTATTTTTCCTTTGGCTTGTCAGAAGCCAAATGATTTTTACTCATTTTTTTTCCTCCAAGAAGATTCATAATTCTACTGATCAGACTTTAACAGCTATAGGGTTCATTTCTCAGGCCCAAACAACCTTCAGTAGAAGTTGTTAGCCTGGAGGTAATATAAGAGGAAGGTATTCCTTATTCTAAACTCAGACCATTCGTAAATAGCAATAGCTGTTAAGGTTTATATACCACTCTATAAGCAGTTTACAGAGTCAGCATACTGCCCTCAACAAACTGGGCTCTCATTTTACCTACCTTGGAAGGATGAAGGATGAGCCAGTCATGATCAAACTCATGGTTGTGGGCAGAGTCAGCCTGCAATATTGCATTCTAACCACTGCATCACTACAGTTCTAAATAGAAGAATATGCCGATATTTCCTGCAAATTTGTAAATACATGACATTTATTTAAGGGCTCAAAGGGTGACATTTCCAAGTGCTAATTTTCCAGAAATCATCATCATATACCTGCACAAGAATGAGCAAGGGTGAGGGACTTTATCTCTCCCCCACCCCTCAAAAAGTATTACTTTCTAAAAAGTTGGAAGAAGTGTGTCACGTAATACCTTCAAATTCCACAAAGCCAGAATGTTCATTAACTGATCCTGGACTAGTTTCCCCCTGTTAACCTAACTGATAGCATTGTGAAGATATGTATTTTTAAACAATGTTTTTTTCTTCAAAGAATGAGAATTGAACGTAGGCCATTTAGTTTTTGGTTTTGGTTCATCTGAGAAGGACACTTCTCTTACAGCCTCTTTTACAAGATATATACAACAAAGGCAGAAAAAGCACTAAAAGTGAAAATGGTTACTATCTTTTATTTGCATTAGACATTGAAAGGGAATTCTACACCTATTTTTATAAACTTGAATAGATGAGATCCATAGTAGAGGCCTGATAGCTCAGTGTCTTTTGGCTGAAAAATATGGTGGGTTTTTTGGTTTTCTTTCCTTACACCAACAGCCCTTTTCTTTCTTTCAATACCTTTTGGCCATTCCACTGCACTTCTTCAATTCAAATCTTTATCACTGTCATAGACCAGCATAGGGAAAGTGAGATACAGTCAATACATCAAGAGCCTAAAAATATAAAAAAGCTAGAAAATATAAAAGATGTATAAATTAAAAATTAAAGGTATATATAAAAAGCAAGAATATGAAGTTATCTTCAAATTATTCTTGAAGGATATTCAAGGGCCTTTCTTGATATGTCAGTGATGGGAAAGTCAATCATGCTCAAGAAGAATCTCTTTTTCTCCACAATCAAAACAAACATTTTTCACTCCCGTCAGTCTCTCCAAAATCATTTTAGTTCAGCTAACGCATTTGATCAGTAAATCTAGGACTGGGTTGCAGTGGTTTCTGAAACAAAACAGTTCAAAATTGAAATCTTATTAGAATATTATAGACAGGGATGTGATTCTGCCAGTTTGGACTGGTTCGAATGAACAGGATGTTAAATTTACATCTGGTTCGCCAAACCAGTAGTTGAACCAACTAGCTGGCTCCACCCAACCCGCCCCGCTCAGGAGTCTCCATGTGACCTGTTTCATATGCAGGTAAGTGCAGGATCTATGTGGAGACTCTGGGAGGGAAACGGGCCTGTTTCCGGCTTCCAGAGGCCCTCCGGACACTGGGGGAAGCCGTTTTGCCCTCCCAGAGGCCCGAGGGAAGCCTCCTGACCTTGGGAAGGCAAAAAATGTCTGAACCAGATGTTCTTGTAGGCCACACCCACCATGGCCATGCCCACCCAGCAACCAGGCAGCAAACCAGTTGCTGGGATTTTTGAATCCCACCCCTGATTGTAGATATGAACAGAATACATAAATCCTGGCACTAAATGCTCATCTTCAGGCCAAAAACCAGGGATAGAAAGTAGAATGTTGAACTATATTTATTTATTTGTTTATTTATATCCTGCCTTTTTTATTATGTTTACAAATACAAGCAGCAAACCTATCCAACACATCTTCTTCCTCCTATTTTCTCAGCAAGAATAACCCTATCAGGTGTGTTGTAGAGCGGCGGAGGAACGAGGCTGAACCAGAGTGAAACGTA